CAGACACAGTCACTGTAGAGCCAAATCTTTGGGAGGATTCATGGCATGGAGGTTTCCACCATGAAGACGGAGTTGGCAACAACCAGGCTCTGCTCTGACAGGTAGTAGGGAAATCTGTCTAGCATGACATTCAAGGTGACTTCTAGTGAGTATGACAGAGCTGACCACACAAAGGTGTGGTGACAGAACAGCCCAAGTCAAAAGAAATTGTGCACAGGCTTGGGAGTATGAAGGGACATAGAATGCCATGTGGGTCACGAGGGAAGTGAGTGGAGAAACAGGACCACAGCTGGCTTCTAACCTGGCTACAATGGGCAGGGAGCAGGATTTCACACAGCAGGAGTGTGGTCTGTTTAACTGAAATGAAATCTTCCAGATGCTGCTCAGATGAGAGATGCCCAGAGAAGGCTGGGAACCAAGAGGCCAATTGGAGGTACGCTGCCACCAGAGGGAGACCCTAGGGTCAGAGAGGAGGTGGATGGGCCACCTGGGGAGACACGAAGTGTGCTTTGTCAGTTGGGTGACATTAAAGTATATTTATACAAAAGGGACAAAGTGGTGAACTTATGAAGAGTACTTGCTGGGTGCAGTCAGCAACCTTGATTCAGCTGGGACAGTTCTTGTTGTGGGATCCTAAAACACACACATTAGATTCAGGCAGCTTGAGAGACAGGGGACCCTTCACCCATGTTAAGAAATGATGTAGGGGTAGCTGAGGGAGCAAAGACACTTGCCACCAAAGCCTCGTGGCCTGAGTTAGTCCTCGGGACCCACATGGTAGAAGGAGAGCGTCAGCTCTCACAAGGTGCCCTCTGACTCTCACACATGCACATGTAAACAATAAATAAATCAGTAAATGTAAAAATGTTTTAAAGAGGACTGTTGTAAGTGAAGAAGCACAGAATGCATAAGGAAATGAGCCCTCTGAATCCAGGCCTGCATGTGAATCCGCCTTTGAATAGTGAGAAAGCTGAGAGAAAAACCATCAGGTCCCTTATCCGGCCACAGAAAGTTCATCACCCATGACTTCCCTACAGGGAAGTTAAGAGAGTCACAGTCCACTTCTAAAAGAGATGCCACCAGGCAGCATGGGGACAACAGCAAGCCTAGGAGCAGAAGGGTCTAGCGATGGCCCAGGCCGTTCACGGTCCCATCTCCTAATGCTGGAGGAACGGAGGCATTAAAGAGAGAAACTGCAGCCCCTGTCTCAGCATACTCAAAGTGAACTGAAAGAGAGGGCTGAACCAGTCTCTCACAGGCCACTCTGAGGGACCAGAGCAGAGAGCAGAGTCATGAACAGACAGTCGGGACTGACTCTCACAGGTGCCTTTTGACCCCTTTGGGTATCACACATGTGAAGACAGAAGACCGGCTCCCTGCAAGTAAAGAGCAGCTGAACACTGATGCCTTTAGGACCTGTCAGGGCTACCCTGTGACAGATGTCCACAGTTCTCTAGAGACAAACCCACAGGCCAGCGAGATGGCTCAGCAAGTAAAGGCACTACTTGCTGCCAAGCCTGACAACCGTGAGACTGATCACTGGTGCCCACATAGTAGGAAGGAGAGAATCAACCCCTGTGAGCTACCTGATGAAATACGTACTTTGGTGCATGCAGGCCCCTCCCCCATAAACCAATACAATAACTGGGGGGGGGGTCCTTAGGACACTGCAGATGAGCCTCTGTTGCTACCATTTGTAGTTACTATGATGAAATACTTGAGGCAGTGTAGCCCTGGTCCAAAGTCAAGGAGCAGGGGGCTTCACACAGCTTCACACACAAGTGTGTGCCTCTTCTCACCTCTCCTTCCTCTTCCACAGCCACTGGCACTGAATCACGTGGTCTCCACTTGGCTGACACAGCCTAATCCTGAGCACTGCCCAAGAGCCTCACTTCCAAACACCATAGCTGGATTCAGCCTCTTCCTTCTCGGTACCTTCTAGTGGGGGAGTACATTTCTGCACATGAGCCCTCAGGGTCACACTGAAGTCATCTGAAAAGCACAGCACCCTTCCCTGACTCCCAGTGCGTCACGTCTTCCTCACAATGCAAAATGCTGTCTTTCTGGCCGCAAAAGTCCTACAGACTTAGTTCAGTCTAACCTGCATTTAGAGTTAACACCAAGTCTCACCCAAGACTCAAGCTGATTCTTCGCAGTTGTAAACCTGTAAAATCAGAACAAGTCACCCATTTCCAAGATTGGAAAAGTGGGAAAGAATATTCAGCAAGACTGAAACCCTGCAGGGAAGACACTAAAGCCCAACACGCGAGTCCAGGCACTCTAGCACACTGTGAGGGGAGAGTCCCAAGCCTTGCAATGGCTTTTCTGGCCACGGGGCTACTCTCCTGCAGCCTTCCTCAGTGAAGGTGGCTTGGTGCCTATAGCTGTACCTCCCTGAGAATGACAGAGCCACAGCCCTGGCTCTGAGGGAGGAGAGGGGGAGTACCACTGACAGTGAGATCTAGAAGGGCCTTACAGAAAGGTGGACAAATAGAGTGAGAGAAACGTCTGTGGGCTATGACAAGAGGAAGCCCACTACAACTGGCTACAGGCACTCCAGGAAGTCTGAAGTGAACTGTGGCTTTTTAAAAGCTACCTCTAACCTACAGTTGGTGGGAAAGCCTGCACTGTGCAAATTAACAAAGAGTCCTCAATTGTGGGGTGTAAAAGTCCACATCACTTGAACAGTTAAGGCTCCTTCTGGCTTCCTCTCTTGAAACTGCATTGTTTCCTAGTAAATTCTCTCACTTTGCTTGCTACTATCCACATCTAATTCCTTGTTGCGAACACAAGAGCCTGAGAACCTCAGCAGGTGTCCTCCAGACCCCTGCATCCCCCAATACCAGCCGCACTATACCTCACCTCATTTGGGGGCTTTCCACAGGTGCTCCAAGCCACAGTCAACTCCTGCCAGGGCTCTCAAAGCTTTCCTTTGGAATCTCAGAGGAAATCACAATGCTACCACAAGGACTGCCTTAATGGCCTTGATGCCAAGGGCTAGCACCCACAGAAACTACACCCAGGCCTGTTTGACTCCAGGCCTTTTTCCAGTTGCTCTGATCACAGAAACTGGCTTCTGTCCACACTAATCTCTCCAGTAAGTAGTTTCACAGCCACACCTTTTACATTCTTGTTCTTTGCTTCCTCCTTGGCCAGACTGGGAGTTTTTCAAATCTTTCCCTTTGGTCTTGAGTTTTACTATAAATCTGATTAAATGCAGCCAATAATGGCCATGTGACAGTGAGAATGTTTGTTGATTTGAAATCGCATTTACCCAGTGTGGTGGTTTAAAAGAAAATGGCTCCCAACAGGAGTAGCACCCTCAGGAGGTGTGGTCTTGTTGGAGGAAGTATGTCACTGTGAAGGTGGGATTTGAGTTCTCCTATGCTCAAGCTACACCTAGTGTCTCAGTTCACTTCCTGTTGCCTGTAGATGAAGCTGTAGAACTCTCAGCTCCTCTCCAGTACCATGTCTGCCTGCGTGCCACCATGTCCCACCATAATGATAATGGACTAAACCTCTGAAGCTGTAAGCCACCCTGATTAAATGTTTTCCTTCATAAGAGTTGCCATGGTCATGGTGTCTCTTCACAGCAATTGAAACCCTAACTGAGACACCCAATAAACGAGTCCATCATCTTTACATGTGGTGTCCCACAAGGTTTTAGGGCATCAACACCACACAGCAGGGTTCTTTGCTACCATCATATAAGAATCAGCTCCTTCCTGTTTTCTAAGAGGTTCCCCACTTCCATCTAAGGCCAATTCACTGGTTTCTTCTTCTCCCTCATCAGAATTTGCCAATAATATTCGCCTTACAGCAAAACAAATTTTTCTCAACCCATTCTTCCAAATTCTTCTGACTTCTTCCCATTATTCAGTTCCAAAGCCACTTCCACATTCTTGGGTAGAGACATACTAGTAACCTCATATACTCCCAATGCAAACTCTCTATATTAGTTTTCTAGGATTTGTTTTACTGTAATAAAATACTGGAGCTGAGCTGAGTAACATTATAAAGAAAACAGGCTTATTTTGGCTCATGGCTCTGGTCCAAGTTCAAGAGCTTGAATTTGATGATGACCTTCCTGGCAAAGTCTCAGGCAGCACAGGGTACCATAGAACAAGAGACAGGAAAGCCTGTAGATGTCTCCTCTGGTCTCACCCTCTCCTTTCAAAGGATTCTCTCATGGGGGTTCTGCACCGATAATTTTATCTGCCTCTTATCACCTCCAAAGTTCGCACCTCCAAATGTCTCAGTAGCATTAGGTATCTATCATTTTAATACCTCTCATCAGGAGTTAAATTTTGGCACATGGACCTTGGAAGACATCACAAGGCCTTCAAGGCATGTGCTCCTCAGAAGACTATAGCATAATATATGCTTATGTTTATATTATACGTGTAATATTATAAACAATCTTTTGACATTATGATGTGGCATTGACATCTAGAAATATGTTGGGCCTTTTTCATAGGATGTTTGTGGCTGGTGGGCAGCAAGGCGGACACTCCTGGTAACAAAGAAAATAAACCTGCGCTTGAGCCCCCCCCCCCCCCCCCCCCCCCCCCCGGCCCCCCCCCCCCCCCCCCACAGCCGCCGCAAGTACTTCCAATTTGTGCTTGGGTGAACCCACAGTAGCAGAACTCATGCATATGGGAAGCCTGCTGTATCTGTTCCTTTCTTGTCTTCTCCTTGTGCACTGCTGGGAGGGCACTCTATGACTGGGTAGACTGTTGGTCACTGAGGAGTACCCAGTGCCTAGACCAGTGCCCTGCATACAGCAGGAGCTCACTCTTCACCTCCACATAGCATGACTGAACCACCGATAGATTCAGGATTATGGGGCAGAGAGGCTGCTGGGAGAGGATTCCTGTCCTTGACTTTCCCTCTCCTGAGGTACCAACCACATTTCACTGACGACCCAGGACCACAATCCACTCTCCACTCAGACAACAGCCAATAAAAAAAAAAAAAAAAAAAAAAAAAAAGACACCTACCAAAGGGGGGCAGTAGCTCTGCTTCTGAGGGACACACATCTCTTTGCTGTGTCCTCCGGCCATAGGTGGCGGAGTAGATGTTGAGGAACTTGGACTCATGACAGTGCAGTTTCAGCTCCTGGTCTTCACACACAGTCTTGTTTTTTAATTCATCTGTAGAAGAAGCAGAAACCAGTGACAGATTAGCCTGGCTTGGAAGGAATGGCCGGGGACCGTCTAAGTCACAGCTACTCAGCCCAAGAAGGGCACAGCACAGCAGAAGAGCCCTGCCTGCCTGGTATTTGGGGCCCTAAAGGCTGGGGAGGGAGATCCCTTGCATATAGCAGGTGGGAAGCAAGCAGAGAACAGAGCAAAGACTCCTGGAGTCACACTTATGTGCAAGCAGGAGCAGGGGTGGAGGGGGCTTCAGGCAGGGGACAGGGACACTCAGGTCCTGGGAAGTTTCTCCTGCTCCATCTTAGAGCAAAGATTCGTTAATAGGAGGAAGCCCCCTGGTAAATGCTGGCTCATATACCACAAGTCCTTGCCATCAACTCCACAACCACCTCCCTACCTACCTGAGTCTGGTAGACTTTGTTTACAAAGAATGCAGAATGGGGCTGGGGTGCATGGAGTTCAGTTGGTAGTGTTTGCTTGCCTAGCATACGTGAAGCCCTGCATTGAGCCCCCAGCACCACACAGATCAGATGAGATGGCTCACGCCTGTAATCTCAGCACGGGGAGGGGCAGGCAGGAGGACAGAAGGCTCAAGATAACTCCCTCACCCCCAGATATATAGCAAGTTCCAGGCCACTTGATATATGAGCCCCTGTTTTCAAGTGCAGGGAGTTGGGGGAGCTGGGTGTGGCAGTTGCTTCTTGTAATCCCAACTCAGGAGGCTGAGGCAGGAAGATCTCTTTACTACCATAATGAGTCTCTCTTTACAGTGTCACACAGGGTTGACATTTTCACCAACTGCCAAGGTAAAAAGTCTTTATATAAAAAAATAGAGCGTATGGTAAAAACCATACATCTTAAACTTATTTTATTGTGCGTGGGAATGAGTTTCACAATGCATTATGGCCAGCTGAGTGTTGGTTCTCTCTTTCTACCGTGAGTTCCAGGATGATGGGGATGTCTTTCTGTATATGTGTTTCTCTTATTGACTGATGAATAAAACACTGATTGGCCAGTAGATTCAGGAAGACAGGCGGGGCTTGGAGACGAGGAGAATGCTGGGGAGAGAGAAGTAAGGAGAGCGCGTGCATGAGTCTAGATAGTACACTCTGTTACATGCCTACGACACTCATTTGGGTTGTTGGCTGTAATGCTGTGGGTAGATCCCAAGACCTCTTAAATGCTCGGTGCACTCTACTACTGAGCTATATTCCCAGCTCTACACACCCATGGTGCAGCCTCCAGCCCCTGAGCTGCAGGCCTGCATAGCATGCTACTGTCCTGAAGACCACACCTACGGAAACACAATGCCAAGCGCCTGTGTATTTAACACTGAGCAACGAGGGACACGTGTGGTACAAATGCTAGATGGCATGTATTTTCAGTTCGGTTATAATCTTCTCAGGACTACTGTCATGCGTTTGGCGTGTCACTGAACAAAATGTCATTATGTTGCATGATCATATGTGAAACATCAAGAAAAGGCAAATGTTTACGAGGTGAACGCAGATGGCTGGTTTGCTGAGATAGTGCGTGTGGTCAGGGAGAAGATGCAGGAAACTCTAACAGAAGACAGGAGTGCTCAGTGGCTGGACGGTGGTTGAGAGAACACAGCTCAGTCAACTTATGAAAGGCTGAGAGCTATTCACTTGAAATGGGAGGGAGGACTTCGTTCTATATTAATTATACCTCAGCATACTTTAGAACTCGAGATAATTGGTATTGAGGGTTTCCCCTCCACTCGGTCCTGTTCTAAGCAAATGAAGTGTTGTAATGGACTTCACGAAAAGCAGTCTTTTGATGCGCTATCTTTTCAAAGCCTCTTCAAAGCACAGCAGCAAGAGTTAATGGCAAGCTGCCTGGGCTAGCCTGGGCTGGCCTGGGCTGGCCTGGGCTGGTTGGCTGGAGGGAACCAGCTTTCCTGAGAAAACTCTTGCTTTTAGTTTCCCTCCTGAGCTCACATTCATCTCCCACCCGGCTTGATCCCGTGTCCTGATAGACCTCAAGACTGGGTTTTCTCGAATGTGATCTGAGACTCACTGATGAGTCTTGAAACTGGATTAGTGAATTGTGACCAGCAAATTTAAAAATATGGACCAGCTGGGAGTGGTGGCATACAGCTGCAGTCTCAGCCCTCTGGCAGCCCAGGCAGTTTGAGGCCAATCTGAGCTACATAGTGAGTCCCACCTCTTCCTTCTCTCCAGGAAAAAGAAAAAAGAAAAGAAAGGAGACACAAAAGAATGATTAGAAACCATCAAAGACATAAAAGGGAATTCCATGAGAATAAACAGGGCTGTGACTTCCAAAGATCATCCTTCAGTTGTGTTCAAGTCACGTTGAACGTCCTTCAGACGTGTAAGTGCACGTCACGTTGGGCCAACGCGTACAGTGTTTTTCTTACTGTGGGTTGAAGTCCAAGTGGTTTGGAAGCTCCCACCATAAGTCTTCCAGAAAAGCATATGCAATACACACCAGAGCTAGGACAGCTGGATGACCTTTGGCAGAACCAGCAATTCATTAAAACATGAAAGGAAAAAATCCAGCAGTGAGCCCCACCTTCCCATGACTTGGAAGTTCCTATGGTTCTTCACCAAAAACCCAAAAGAAGCTGAAAGACCCAACCTTGGGTCACAGACAGGAAGACACCTCAGATCGCAAGATGCCACCAGCTGTAGCCAGTGAGCCCTGACGCTGGTTTTTAATAGAGTCAACTGCCACTCCCCCTGCAGGTCGATTTCTGTGATGTTAGGTAATCCACAGCCAATCACAGCTTGAGAATAGTAAATAGAAAATGCCAGATGTCAAGAATCCCCAAATTTTAAGCTGCCCCCTATTCTGAGTAGTGTGTCGTCCTCTTTGGCAACTGGGTTCTGTCCACACAGACATGAGTCTTCCTTTGCCCACTAAACCACCCTGTGGATGCCACCTGCCCATTAGTCAGTCACCTTGTTCATTGTCTTAGTTATCACAGCCATTGTTGAAATATTTATGCTCAAATAACCCTGATTTTACTTCCTGACAGCCCATGGCACAAGAATGTTAATTATGATGGCACTTTTATTATAACCATGGTTATAACTTCTGTTTTATTATTGTTGCTATAGATCTCTTACTGTGTGCCCAAATTAAACTTCATCATGGGTGTGCATCTATATGAAATCATAGTATAGATAGGGTTTGATGATATCTGTGGCTGTAGGGAGCCACAGGCCCTCTTGAAATATGCTCCCTTTGTATAAGGGCAGATGATTATATCTATATCTTATTTACTATATCTATTATATATATATATATGTATATATGAATATTCCAGGCAGGTGTCCAACCATCCTATGGGCCATAAATAGGTAGTTATGAATGCAGCTGGCACAAAATCATAACTTCCTTTGTACATGATGATGCCATGCGCAGTCTTAAAGGCTTGGGTCTGCCTGTGAGAGTGATCAAAATGCAATCAAGCAGAAGCCAGGCTGCCAATGCTCACAAGATCCTCGCCTTCTCTGGTCAGTTGACACACAGAACCGATGAAGCAGGCAGGGCAAAGGAACCCGGTGTCATAGTAAATATTTAAAAGACCCTTGACCAGCTCACTGGAGTCTCAGCATAACATTTTACAGTTAGATCCAAGGAAAAGCTTGCCTCTTTCTACATAAAAAGATCACTTTGTCTGATTGTGACTTTGGGGTGTTTGTGTCTTTTTGGCCACCCAAGTCTGCAATCCTTCTATGTTGTGTCTGAATAGATGCTCAATCTCATCAACGCTGACAGTTCTACTGACTTCAAAGACCCAGGGCGACAACAACCATTTCATGCACAAAACCAGACCAAAGAGAAACACCAGCGACCTTTGCAATCAGGAGAACATCTACCGACGTGTTCAGAATGCTTACCGGGGCAGAGAGCCTCCAAACAGAAGTGGGAGGAGCTGGGACAACCAGACTTCTCAGCAAACTTGAACTCTTTTGTTAGTTTGGTTTCTATAGTTTGAGATAATTACTATGTAGACCAGGCTAGCCTCGAACTGAAGATCTTCCTGCCTCAACTTCCCAAGTGTTGAGATCTTGTGTCTGTGTCAGCATACCCTGCTAACATATAAGAACAGGACTAGCTCCCTCTGTCTCTGTCTCTCTCTCCTTAAATCAGCATTTTAAAATTATTACAACGTGTTTGTTTTATTTGCTTACTTAATGTGTGTGCTTTGCCTGCATGTATGTATGAGCTCCACATGTGTCCTTGGTGCCTGCAGAAGCCAGAGGATCCCATGGTACTGGAGTTACAGAGAGTTGTGAGTCTCCATGTGAGTGCTGGGAATTGAACCCATGCCCTCTAGAGCTATTTCTCCAACCTTAGTTATTGTAATTTTTTAAAGCACACCATGGAATGAATATTAGCCATGTCTCTTTGAGTAACTAAAGCTCGTTCACTCAATGCCAGCAAAGCCCACTTGAGATGACAGGACACCGGTGTGTAAGGCCTCCAGACCCCCCCCCCCCGTCCACACCACAGATGTGTGCCACGTTGCTTCCTACTGCACTGTGTTGAGTCACTTGATTCCCTGTAAATGTGCTGACTGACACCTAAGAGTGTATTTTGGGGTTCTAAAGGAGCAGGGAGCTCCTAACATAACTGCTGCCTTCTAGGAGGAGCAGAACTTGGTAGGAACTGAGGGAGCGCTCTCTCTTGTCTCAGCTCAGAGATCTGGGCAGCTACCCAAGGGTAAGTCACCAACACATCATCTGCAGGGAGAGCAGAGGAGCCTGGGAAGGCAGAGTCAGGACTCCGCTGAAATGCAACAGTTGTGACTGAAGCTGAGAATCTCTACCGAGTAGAGGGCCCAACTGGGTACCCCCTTTCTCCTGACAGTACACGCAGAGAGTCCTTGACCTGCAGAGAGCTAAGTCCAATTAAACCCACAGTGAGTTGCAAAGCTGTCAAGTCGGAAATACAGGTGTCATGTTTTCACACGAATTTAAAAAAATAGATTGCAATACATTTAACACACTTAAGCTACAAACGTATCATAGCTTCTTGCAGTCAAATCAATTGGGGGTCAGTGAGAGAAAAACTTCACTTCCGCCTTCCAAAATGCCATGACTCTGACTGCTTAGGACAGGGTCACACAGCAACTCATCTGTTCTCCACCATTTCTCCCTGGGGCAGCCAGAGAGGGCTTTGCCTACTCCACACCTCCCTGTGTAAACATGAGTTTGTCCCCTCCAAACTCATGCTGTACAGTCCCCACTGGGAAGTATCAAGAGGGTGGAAATTTAGCCTAACTATGGTATTTAGGGATGGGACTTTCAGGTGATTAGGGTTAGAAAAGGCTAGCCAGGTTGGTGGAGAATGGCAAGGGGGCATGCCCATGTCCTCTGTCTCCAGGCCACAGTCATCAGGCTCTCACCACATCTTTCTCCAGTTGCTGACAATGTGAACAACTGATTTTGCAAGGAGCATTTGCTTTCATCATGGGCGGTGGGAACTGGGGGTAGAGAAAATAAAAGCAAATCTAAGGGCACTAAGGGCACAGTCGCTTTTCAGTGTCGGCTGCAGGAGGCCCATGAAGAACTCAGAGACCTCCAAGCTATGGTCCTCATCTGTTGGCCCAGGTAGGGGTTGTTGGGATATGGTGGAGGAGGGGAAGGGGCACAGCGGGATGTTGAGGCCTGTTTGTGGCTACTTACCATTGTGTATGTGTGAGTGTGCAAGACAGTACATTTGTATGTGCATGGACAATGGAGTGTGGGGCTGCACGTATGTATGTGACTGGGTACGTATGTATGTCTAATAGGGTGTAACACTGTGGCAAGGTGTGTGATAAGGTGTGAGTCTCTTTAGCATGCTCTGAGTGTGTGGGTGTGTGCATGCTCGCTGATGGACAAGTGGACGTGAGTGTATTTGCAGGTACAGTACCAAGGGGCAATTCTATTGTGTATCTGCTGTCTCTGGGAGATTGTTCGAGAAAAATCCGAGGTCTGGGGACTGCTTCCCCACCATGCAGTAGGGCAGTGGGGTCCCCTGTGGTCCCATGGGCCACCCCCAGGACCAGGCTACCAGTGTCTAAGAACCGACAAGAGAACAAAATGCACACAAGTAAAACAGTTGAGTTGGGGTGGCAGAGGAAGTTATATATTATTCCTGACATATGACCACGAGTTGCCCAAGCAAGCCTGCTGGAAAGACAAACATTGCATGTGAGAATCCTGGCTGTTGATTTTTATATGTGTGTATATACATGGGTGTGGGTGCGTGCGGGGTGTGAAACAAGAAAGGGAGACACAAAGGGGGGTTCAGGAAGTGAAGGAGAAGGAGGGATAGAAGTCAGGTGACCTGAGGTGGAAGGGGGACCACTGGCGTGGAAAGGGGGAGGGGGGCAGGGGACTTGCGGGGAGGGAAGAATGGGGATCGGATCAACCAAAACTATGCATGAAAATGCTTTACTCTCTGTGCTGTTTTAAAACAAACTAAGAAAAGGATGTCTATTCTGGCCTATCCCAGATGCCTGGAAATGAGCCCTGCTCCTTGAAGAGAGCTTACTTAGAGCTTGCACTAGGTTGATCACAAAGCCTGTGTGCATTAGGGATGGATGGCAAAAGTCACTGGAGAAAGCACAAGGCCAGGATGGAGGAGATTGCTGCAGCACACCCTGGTCCACAAGCATGGGGCAGCCAGTTCATAGACACTGGAGGTGGTGGCTAGCTGTGCCACTGAGCCCAGGGGAAGCCAAGCCTCATACGATCACCTTTGAAAAGCAGGATTTTTCCCTCGCTGTGAGGGACATCACTTGTATTTCCTCCCCAACTGTGGATACTTTTAGCATCAGTACAATGGAGTTTTGTACTCGGAGAAAGGTTTTTACGTTTGTGGATTTGTACGTAGGAGCACACAAATGTGTCTTTCTCTCTGATGTTTCTATTGAGGGATTTGAGGTTGGGTGAAGACCATGGACAGAGGATTTGTGCCCCTGAAACTAGGGGCCAATCCCAAACACACTGTCCCCCGTTTGAAAGTTACTTACTAGGTTGGCATTTAAAGGAGACCAGGAGGTATTTACTGCTTCCTGGACAAAGGTCAGGTCCAAAGACGCGGCTATTGACCAGGAGGTGGCAGGCCCGCTGGTTCTGGCACTCATCCAGCACCTTCTGGAAGGAGGGCAGAAAAGCAGAGGCTTGTAAACACAGTGTCTTCTGGGCCCCAAACCCGGGTTGTTCTGGGCTCTGGGGACATGAGGCATCCCTGTCTGGCCTGAGCTGCGTCTGGGATGTGGGTGGTAGGCGGCTCCCTGTAATTTTTAGAAGAAAGAACCCTGATCCAGAGAGCCAGGTCCACCGAAAAGCTGGCCTCAATCAGCCACTACGGTGAATCTTAAGAAGGTCTATCCCTCAGAGTCTCTAGAGTATATGAGTGGTGATGTCAAGTCACCTTGACTGCTCAGCTGGGGGCACTTCAAGCTTTAGAATTGAGAGAACCACAATGGCCAGGAATTGTGGCCATACTCCTTACCTTTAGAAACAGCCCCACACAGGCCCCAGGGACTTGGGAAAGACTTCAAACACCCACATGTTTTCTACCAAATGAAATATTTAAAGCTGATACCCACCCTTGGCAAAGGAGGCATGGGCCCATGACTTTGCTGCTCGATGATTTCTTTAACAGAATTCTCTCTCTCTCTCTCTCTCTCTCTCTCTCTCTCTCTCTCTCTATGCTTGTGGAACACCCTATTCTGCCTTATGGAGAGATCCATGACTTCTTACTGCCCCTCTGGGCTATGGCTCACAGAGAAAACTCTACACAGAATAAACTCAGGTGCTGGCCTTGGTTCTGATGAAAGAGAAACAGAGTCCAGAAGAGGAAAAGTTCCCAAGAATCTACTCTTACTTTAGAATTGACTGCCACGCAGATTTTTGAGCTTTTTCCTGAGTTACCATGGTTTTGTAACAGCTCGAGGAATATATATTTCCTTGAAAGATGCTGGTCCTACCATGTCACCTACTCTGCCACCTCAGGGAGGGGCCAAGGAGATGTGGATCTGTCAATCAGAAAGAATTCCCAGGGGAACCTTTACACCCCTAGCGGGCACAGCTCTCAAATGATGGCAATACTGGCATGGCTAATGGTCTTGGTAAATCACACAGCCTCTGGGTGTTACTGTAAGGCTCATCCACTGTGACCTCAGGGCAGGCTCAAACTGTGTTACCAACAGCAAAATGCAGAGAGGAGCCATGACAGTTACCTTGGCAGATGCTAACCCAGTCCTACCTTAAACACTGCTGCCCCTCAGGACATAGGACTCAGCAGCCAGTGTGGTGTGAAATCCCAAGGGAAGGGACCTCCTGTTTGCTGAGTGAAAGGGCCATTCATAGGGGTGCTTCAGGCAAGCTAACCCTCTGAGCAGCCTCAGAATTGTGTTCACAGACGCTGACATGGCAGTCTAAATGGAACTTCCTCTTCTCTCAGGGCACCAGGTTGGAGCAAGTAGGCCTCAGTGCCAGCAGTTCATACTTTTACCAGGTAGATACTCCTGTCCTCTGGGTGCTGGTGGGCCAGCACCCTTTTTATGCACCTTGGAGGGCAGTGGAGAGTCTGGGCACCTGAGTTGGGTGAGGAGGAAGTCAGGTGACCACCAGGAATATGGCTCTTAGAGGGGATGCCCCAAAGGGAGAAACTGAGGCAGGGCAGGTACTCAAAGACACTATACTTGACTTTTCCAAAGAAATGTGTGTTGCCCATCACGGTGTGGAAACCATGTCAAGGGGATTCAGCCAGATACATTCTTTTGTGCTGTTTACTAATTAGGTGACTATGCACATGCTATAGTTTTTTTGAACTGAAAGAAAAGTAGTATGGTTCCAGGACAGCCTCCAAAGCCACAGAGAAACCCTGTCTCAACCAGCCCCCCCAAAAAAGTAGTATGAAGAATAGAAAAATCTTTGCATCATCTAACATTTTTGCTTCTCTGTGGGCATAAAAATAACGTACAGAAGTCTCCTTAGCCCTTCTGATAAATTTACCTTCATCTACATATTTATATAGATCACAATCAAACTGACATCTACCTTGTCACTTGCTTGCTGTAAAGAACGTGAGAGGTATTTAAAATCACCATAAAAAAGGCAGGCCAGCGATATAGTAAGTAATGTTAGCCAGATAATTGAGATGATAGATTATAGATTGCTTGGATAGAGTTGACCATAGTGGCACAGGCTGTAATCCCAGCCACTGCACCCAGACAGCAGAATAGAAGGTTCATGTCTACCTGGGCTACAGAGCAAGTTCAAAGCTAGCCAGGGAAACTGAGGAAGAACCTGTCTCAGAAATGAAAAGGGGCTGAGACTATAGCTTGCCTAGTGGTATGCTGTTTGCCCAGCATGCAGAAGGTCCTAGGTTCAGCCAATCCCCAGTAATGGAAAAGCCTGCATGTGTAACTGACATCCTCAGTCTAAAACCACCAGGGAATGACTTGAGCTCTGTATATGCCAACTCTCCCCAAGTATGCCCAAGGAGGAAGAGAGGAAGATGGGGGGGGCAGAGGAGAAAGAGAGAGGAAGAGGAAGAGGAAGAGAAGTAGAAGAGGAAGAAGATGAAGAGGAGGAGGGGGAGGAGGAGGAGGAAGAGGAAGAAGAAGAAGAAGAAGAAGAAGAAGAAGAAGAAGAAGAAGAAGAAGAAGAAGAAGAAAAAGAAGAAGAAGAAGAAGTTGTACTATTCAGAAGAAAAAGATCTAACCAAGGCCACCCAAAATATCTCTAAATGAGAATACACTGGTTGTCTATAGGTGGAGAAGCAAGCCACGAGAAACAGGAGACAACTATTGCTGTCTCTTGGGCGATCCTCTAAAGTTCATCATGACTGCCAATGCTGGCATCAGAGTCACCGGGGTTCCCACTGGAGCACTTATCAGTCCAACATGGCTGCTTTGCTTCACTACAGTAGAGTGTGCCTGCGGCTAACATCATATTGGAACAGTGCTGAGGGAATGCTTCATCACATGGGGATTCCATTTGTACCATGTGCCAGAGACCTTTGAGAAACAAGAAATAACTCAGCTATAAAAATTGGTGATGCTATAGTAATTGGGGTTTTCACAAATTTTTGCTTTGAATGAACCACAGAATCACACGTATATGAACACAGAAAACAAGCAGGGAAGAGAGGGAAAGAGAGAGAGGAAAGAGAGGGAAAAACTATTTCGTGATTTTAGCACATCCACGAAACGCAATACCTGCAAAGTGGTGGATGCCACACAGGTCAAGTTGTCTTCCCTCTGGGAGGTGGGCTCCTGGGAACTACACATTTGGTAATCTTGCCCATAAAATGCCGACTGGACACTTATTGTAGAATGCCGAGGGCACTGTAGATTCAAATAGTCCCCGTCACAGGCATAGGCGGTGTGGTTTTGCAGGAGTTTGGTTAAGTAACCTGGAAAATATTCAGCTGGGTTACGGGAGCCCCAGGAAGCCCCCCTCCCCATTCCTGCATAGATTTCAGAGCAAGGAGATGCTGGCTTCCCTGAGGCAGGGGCAGCTGGGTTAGGAAGGTGTGGGAGGCAGCTTCTGCAGCAGATCTGAGGCAGGTGACCAATATAGTCACACTGGGCTGTGGCGGGGGAGGGGGGCAGATTCTGGCTTTCCTGTGTGAGCCAGGTACCTTGGTCTGTGATGGCCTGGTGCAAAGCTTGAGGGCTCCATCCCTCCAGGCAGCACACTAAGGGATTGGCCATGAGCCTAAGGAATCTGGAAGAACTTCTATAAAGCAGGAACTATGCTGAGTGGGTGTCCCTGGGCATGTGCACACCCGTTCCAAGGAAGAATTGACTTTTCTGATCTCCGGGCCTTCCTGAAGTGAGGGGTGCCATTGAACTTCAGGAAACCACTCCTGGGCCTGCCTCACCCCAGAGAGGAAAGCTGGGGAGGGTTGCCTGCATAGGGTAAGGCTTGCCTGGAAGAAGTTGGGGGAGGAGGCTTAGGTGTTGGGGGAGGGGTTAGGTGGTGGGAAATAGAGCGGATTTTTATTGTAGACTGAGTAGTGAGCGTATTTTCAGATTCCTATTGAACCCCATGATGTTACTTCATTTGAAAACAGGAGTGCAGGCATAATTAGTTGAAAGAAGGCATAGTGAACCTGGGAGAGCCCTTAATGTCATATGACTAGTGTCCCCATCAGGAAAAAAAGAAAGAAGACAGAAGACAGTGAAGATTGGAGTGACACCACCAGCAGAAGCTGAGGGGTGCAGGGAAGGCCTTAGAGGGTTGTGGCTCTGCTTATGCCTGGATTTCAGACCTTTGGGACTACAGGAGAAGGGTTTCTGATGTACACAGCCACCCATTTTGGAAATTGTCCCAGTTACCACATCCCAGTCTTTGAATCCCATTTGGAAATTGTTCCAATAGCCACAGGAACAAAAATAGGCTCAGCATCCCAGTCTCCCCGATGACTTCTCAGGAGCCAGGCTGGGCCGGGGCTCTGAGGTCTGAAGACCTGTAGCCTGGCATGCCTGGAGCATGGGCTGGTTCTCAGAAATGAGGAAGTAAGTTCTGGCCAGAATGTGGATTTCTCTTCCTCCTTCTCACACCTCATAAGGTCAACAGCAAGGCTGCCAGGAGCAGAGCCAGGGACTTTCTGTTGAGGTGTGTGTGGGGTGCGCTGGGCAGACTCTAACAGGGAAGCATTAGGGAAGGAAGGGTAGTTCCAGAAGTGTTTGATTCCCACACAGACGCCCCACACCTATGTGAGTCCTGTTCTGGTTTCAAAATCTCTCAGAAGTATAATTCCTGACTGAAGATACCTGGGTTTCCTGGAAGCTCACAGGCAAAGAAATGAGGTAGTTTGGCCTAGAGTCATCCCATTCATACATGAGTGTTCTGAGGAAGGCTGCCTTCAAGCCATGAGCCCAAATAAACTCTTCCTTCTTGAGTAGCTCTTCCTTGGGTTGTTGGCCACAGCAATAAGGAAAGTCATAACCGCCTGCTGCACAGACCATCACAGAAGCATATGCTCTCTCTCTCTCTCTCTCTCTCTCTCTCTCTCTCTCTCTCTCTCTCTCTTTCTCTCTCTCTCTGTATACGTGGATGCATGCACACACATGTTCACAGAGGCCAGAAATCAACCTCTGATGTCTCTCTCCTATTGGGTGCTGTCCACTTTTATTCCACTGAGAAAAGGTCCCTCATTGGCCCATAGCTTTCCAAGTAAGCTAGCCTAGTTAGATGGCCAGCCCATCTGCCTGACTCCATCTCTCTGTCACTGGAATTACAAGGGGTCTCTACCATGCCTGCTCAGAATTTCTTCCTATGGGTTCTAAGAATCATGTATGCACTCTACTGCCTGTCTTAGTTAGGATTTCTATTGCTGTGAAGAGACACCATGACCACAGCAACTCTTATGAAAGAAAACATTTAATTGGGATGGCTTATAGTTTCAGAGATTTAGTCCATTGTCATCATGGTGGGACATGGTGGCGTGCAGGCAGACATGGTGCTGGAGAACGAGATGAGAGTCCTACATATTGACTTGAAGGCCACAGGAAGTGGTCTGTCTACTGGGAATGGCTTGAGCATGAGACCTCAAAGCCCGCCTCCACAGTGACACACTTCCCCCAACAAGGCCACACCTCCTCCAACAAGGCCACACCTCCTAATAGTGCCACTCCTTGCGCTTTGGGGGCTGATTGCATTCACACTACCACACTGGCTGAAGTTCCCTTTCAGCTCCTCTGCTGTTTTGAGACCCTGAGTCTGTGCCAATTTGGTTTCCACAAGTGACTGTTGGAATGACCTGGTGCACATGAGAGACACAGAGTTACAGATTCAAGAACCATTTTTAAGGAAAGATTTTAAAAATAAATATGTTTGGATTAAAGCCAGGAGAAGCCTATGCATGTATGTATTTGTATATATCAATATATATCAAATGAGTTCTAGATCATGTGTAAGTTATATTTCTTACTGTGAGTTATGGCCAACAAATTTCAGAGTGAATATTGACAAGAGACTGTTTGAAATGAGGGCTCATGGGTCCCAATTTAATATAGCAAAGGAAATGAGCGTGGGAGAGGATAAAATCCAGGGGAGTTGAGATCCTGCCAAGAAGGGACATAAGCTCAGAGGGCAATCACAGCTGTGAGTCAAAAAGTCCTTTGAGAGCAGGGCAATGAAACGTTCCAGAGAGGACAAGAAAAGGGCTCAGTGTGCACAGGCACTTGCCACCAAGCCTGACAACCTGAGTTCAGTCCCTGGAACCCACATTGTGGAAGGGGAAAACCAATTCCACAGCTTGTCCTCTGACTTCCACAGCAGACCAAAGCAAAAATGCACCTACACAGGTACACACACACACACACACACACACACACACACACACACACTGAAGAAATGTAATGACAATAGAAAAAGAAATATCCCTGAGCAGCCATAGAAGACAAAGTGAAGGTGGAGAAGTTTCTGTACTATCAATGGGGTCTCCTGTGGATGAGTACACCTCAAAAGAAAGAGTAGTGGGGCAGCCCGCTGCCAAGGTTGTCCTTGAGGGCATCCTCTTCTCTGGGGTGGGGGCGAGCCTACTCTTTCCAGTGTGCTGTGCAGTCACCACTCCTAGCTTCCCGATGCCCTGCTTTCTCAGCTGGTTCCAAGGACAATGTTTTTTTAAGCAGCTACCAATGCTGCCTTTGGTTATGAATTCTCTTTGGGCCATATTGGATGAGTCAGAACACTTATGTCCTCATAGTCTCAGGCAGGAATTTTACAATCCAGCCCTGTTTACCATCTCAGGATAAGACCAAAGCCAACTGCTTGGTTTTGGTTCTTGAGACAACGCCTCAAGTAGCCCAGGCTGGCCTCCACCTTCAGGTTTAGTAGAGGATGATGTTGAATTCTTGATCCAAGTGCTGATCACAGCGGGATGTCAAAAGGAATGCCTGTTCATTTCGATTATTTTATTTTGTGTTGTATCCCAGCACCCTGCCCAGGGTGGTCTCGAATTCACGGCAATTCTCCTGCTCAGTTACCCAAAGTTTGGGTTTACAGATATGAACCACAATGACCAGCATAAGTAGAAGTGTATATCCTTCTTAAAAATCTGTCTTAATGTCCAGTGTTACCTGAGACACTGTGCTGTGGTTAAACTGGTGGGCGAGGGCCAATCGTGAAGGATACAGACCTTCCTGTCAGCTCAGGTGCCTGGTCACATCTTGAAATTATTGCCCAGATTCTCTTCCCTGGCAAATGGCCACACTAAATTATCAGAACTCAAGCATCTTCCCAGCCAGAATCTTCCTGAAAAGAACACCAAAAGGCTGGGCCTGGGAAGATCTCAGAGGAGACTAGATAATGCATTTTTATGTTTTCCTTTTCTAAATAAAGATAAGGAGTTTACGGAACAATGGGTCTCTAAAGAGCAGTGGGAGCTGGGAGTTGCCTTCCATCTTTGGAAAGAAACAGAAAAGAGAGGTGAAATGGTTCAGCCAGTAAAGATGCTCGCCCTAATGCCTAATGACCTGAGTTCCATGCCCAGAGCCCACGTAGTGGAGAGAACCAACTCTTGCAAGGTGTCCTCTGATGCCCACATAAGTGCTCCAGTGCTTGTGTGCCCCTCACACACAAAGAAGTAAATGTGATAAAATGTTTTAAGTGATGATTTGAAGAGGTCGGGTCTTCATTATTGAAAGCCATTCTTGAGAGCACCCTCATCACACTGACAGTGAAACTCACTGGAATACAAACAGTGCAGTGACTGGAGACCAGAATTGTAAACACAAGTGTCCCATGAGAGCAGCAGGTGTTATGTAGGGTGGGAGGGAGGTTTCACAGCGAATGCTTGGGGTATCATCGGCAAATCAAGGTTAGCTTCGCGATGCTTTGCAGCACTCCTCCCAGCCAGGTCTGCCATAGGCAGAGCAAGTCATGATCAGAGCAGGTACACGAACCCACCATCTGCATGAGGTCCCAAGGGTAAATACAGACTCAGACTAACTACACCGTTCTTGTGTGCATGTGCACATGGCTGTGTGTATTACATTATATCACTCGTGTGTGTGTGTGTGTGTGTGTGTGTGTGTGTGTGTGTGTGTACTCTCATACATGCAAACATAGGTGTGTGCATGCATCATTCTTGTGCTAGTTCATTAAACACATCATTCTTTAGTGGTCACTCACTTGCACTCCGTAAAGCACAGACGGTGCCAAGACCTGCATCTAACTGGCATGGTTACAGAGTCCCATAAGGCTTCAGAATCCTTGGGAGCAAGCCAGTGAGGGTGGGGAGTGAGCAGAGGATTAAAGCAAGTCCAAGGTTCAAACTGTGTTTGACTCTGGG